GCATTTGCTGGGCAGCACAATTGCTCAGTGGTTAGCACTGCTGCCTCACAGCACCAGGGATCTGGGCTTAATTAAAGCCTTCGGTGACTCACTGTGTAGGGTTCGCAGATTCTTCCTGTGTCTGCGTGGGTTTCTTCCGGGCGTTCCAGTTACCTCCTGCAGTCCAAAGATATGCAGGTTAGGTGGATTGGTTATGCTTATGGGGATATGTCCTCTTTCTGCACTGTGTAGGGATTCTATGAGCTCAGAAGAATAAAGTGGGATCTCATAGAAACCTATAGGTTTCTAACAGGACTGAAGAAGATAGGTGCAGAAAGGTTGTTCCAGGTGCCAGGGAGTCAGAACCAGAGGTCATAGCCTAAGGATTTAGTCAATTTAGGATTGAGATGAGGAGAAATTTCTTCATCCAGTGGGTAGTGAGCCTGTGGAATTCACTACCACAGAAAGCAGTCAAAGCCAAGACATTGTATGATTTCAAGAAAGAGGTGGTTGTAGCACTTGGCGGGCTAAAGGAATCAAAGTCATAGTGAGAGGGGAAAGATTAAAAAGGACTTGAGGGGTAACTTTTTCGCGCAGAGGGTGGTGCATGTATTGAACAAGCTGCCAGAGGAAGTGGTGGAAGTACATATTTAAAAGGCATCTGGATGGGTATATGAATAGGAAAGGTTTAGAGGGATATGGACCAAATGGGACTAGATCAGAGATAGTAGGAACTGCAGATGCTGGAGAATCCGAGACAACAAGGTGCAGGGCTGGATGAACACAGCAGCCTCTCTGCTCCTATGATGCTGCTTGGCCTGCTGTGTTCATCCAGCCCTGCACCTTGTTGTCTGGGACTAGATCAGATTGGGATGTCTGGTTGACATCGACACATTGGACTGAAGGGCCTGTTTCCATGACTCTGACTCCATGATATGGAAGAAAAGCAACAATGGGCTATTGAATTTGATGATCAGCCATGATCATAATGAATGGCGGAGCAGGCTCAAAGGGCCAAGTGGCCTACTTGTTTCTATATTTACAAAACTGTTCAATTCAGTCTCATACCCCAATTTTTTCCTCCTAGTTCTGCAAATTAGTTTCCTTCAAATACACCATAGAATCAGTGAAGAGACCGCCCTTGGGCCCATTAAGTCTATGCTGCAAAATAACCGCACTAACTCTACACTAGTCCTCTTGCTAGAATTTGGCCCATAGCCTTAAATGTTATGACATTTTAAGTGCTCATCCAAGTACCTTTTTAAAAGGCTGTGAGGGTACCTGCCTCAACTACCCTCCCAGGTAGCGCATTCCAGACCCACACCAGCCTCTGGATGAAAAACATTTTCCTCACTCCCTTCTAAACCTTCAGTCTTTGACCTTAAAATAGTGCCCTCTTGTTAATGACCCTTCAACTAAGGGGAAACAGCTGCTTTCAATCCACTCTCTCATAGTCTTGTATACCTCTGTCAGGTGCCCCTTGACCTTCTCTGCTCCAAAAAAAAACAAACCAAGTTTATTTAGCCTTTCTTCACAGCTAAAGGGCTTCATCCCAGGCAACATCCAAGTGAATCATCCTCCCTTTCATGTGGTGACCAAACTACAAACAGCACTCTAAACTGTGGCCCTACCAAAGTTCTTTACAACTCCAATTTAACATACGTGCTTTTCTAATCTGTGCCTCAACTGAGAAAGGCAAGTGTCCTGTATACATAACAACATATTAGCCTGCCACCTTCAGGGACAAGCAGCCAAAGATCCGTCTGTTCCTCTGAGTTTCCTAGTATCCTGCTATTTATTGAGTACTCTCTTGTCATGTTTCTTCTTCCAAAGTGCATCACCTCACATTTATTAGGGTTAAATTCCATCTGCCCATCTAACCAATCAGTCTATATTCTCTTGAAACCTAAGACCATCTTCCTCAGTATCAACCTCGTAGGCAATCTTTATGTCATCCGCAAACTTACTTATCATCCCACCCTCCTATTTCCACCTATTCATTTGTATGTGTTTCACGAATAATAAGAGACCCAACGGTGATCCCTGAAGTGTGCCACTGGATACCAACATCCAGTCATACAAAGAGCTTTCTACCACCACCCTCTGTCTCCAATTACAAATCCAATTTTGGATCTGTCTTGCCAAGTCATCCTGGATTTCATGTGTGTCTACCTTCTTTATCAGTCTTCCATGTGGGACACTCTTAAAGGCCTTGCTGGAATCGAAATGAACTACATCAACTGTATTACTTCCATCTACGCATTTGGTCACCACTCAAAAAAATTCAATCAGACTTATTAGGGATGATCTCCTTCTGAAAGCCATATTAACTATCCCAGATTAAACCTTGTCTCTCTCTAATGGAGATTAATTCTGTCCTTCAGAATTTTCTCCAATAGTTTCCCTAGCACTGACATGAGACACATTGGTCTATAATTCCTCGGTTTTCCACTACCACCCTTCTTGAAAAGTGGAACCACATTAGCTGTCCTCCAGTCCTCTGCCATCTCCCCTGTGACCAGAGAGAATTTAAAAATGTGGGTCAGGACACCACTGATTTCAACCCTTTGTCTCCCACAGCAGCTTGGGTGAGGCCTGAGGATTTCTCATCTTTTTAGCCCAGCAAAACCTCGAATACCACCTCTCTCCCTACATCAATCTGCTCAAGGACTTCTGTAGGAGCATTTTTTTCCCAGGGACAAAGACTCAGGAGGCAGGCAGGATTCAGGCAAGTGGAAGATATTTATCCAAGCAGAAACTAGTTTACACAGTGAGAGGGCCAAAGGATCTTCCCCAGATCTGGCTTTGGAAGATAGATCAATGACACACCTCTGCTTTTACAAAGAAATACAGCATTTTTATACATTTTTGTTAGAATAATCAAACACAACGTGTTCACTCTCCTTCCCTTTAAT